CCAAGACAGCGGAGAAGGGGGGGAGCCAGCCGGCGACTGGGAAGCGGTCCAGGGGTGATGATGAGGGGTTAATTGCCGACGTGCTGGGGAAGAGGAAGGCATTGGAGGAAGCTCACCGGAGTGTGATGGGGACAGAGCCTAGGATGCCTTCTTATAACCTGCAGGCGCCACTGAAGTTGCCCTTCGGTATTGATGATGTGTTTGCTGAAGGGGTGGAGAAGGTGGACTTTTTCAAGATGCGTCGGCAGAAGAAAGAGGCGAACCTAGCCATGCATCGTCAGGAGATACCTCTGGTGAACGTCTTCCTGGAGGGCGTGAAGAGTGACCCTGAGGCTTTGGCCAAGACGCAAGCTTCTAACTTTGCAGATCGGGCCCAGAAGACGATTCTCACGTCTGCTTATGTGAGTGAGCTGTTTATGAATTTGTGCTTATCTTTCTAGTTTTTCTGACTAATGATGCTTTGTGTTGTAGGCCTTTGGCGAGATGTATGTCAACATGGCTAAGGCAGATAAGGAGATTCAGAGGTTGAAAAAGCGTGATGAGCTGGCCAAGAGCAAGATGGCGGAGGCACAAGAGGCTATCCGAGAGAGGAATACCCTGCTGTTGCAGAAGGCGGAGTTGGCCAAAGAGGTGGAAGAGCTGAAGCGGTCGAAGGCTGAAGAGGTAGCTGCTGCCCGAGCCGAAGCGGCCGAGGAGTTCTGGTCGTCCGAGGAGCTGAGGAGCTACATCATGGACCGGTTGGTGGATGAGCAGCTTCGCTGGGAGAAGAGATTGGCGAGGTTCAACCCTTCGGTTGAGATCAAATTTGATACCAGTGGCCAATCTCCAACATCTAGTCCTACTGCTGATGACACTACCGCTGTGCCGGAGTCTACTGCTGACGACACTACCGCTGTACCGGAGTCGGAGCTAGGCCCTACGGATGCCGCTTCTGCCTAGACTTGAAGGCGTCGTCTTCCTTACGTTTGTATTTGCTATGTATGAACAATTTGCCTTGCTTGGGGCACATGTATGTTGATTTGCTATGATATTAGACTTGTTGTCTTTTGATATCGGTTGTACTTAGCAAAAATGGTAATCATGTGATTGGTAAGAATTAGCCAAGGTCAGGCATT